CATCGTCTTCTCGACGGCTCTTTTCTGCGGGGAGGGGGCGGCGGCCGCCGTCCTCTGCCTCTCCTACGGCCACTCCGACGACCGCTTCTGGCTGGCGCTCACCGTCTTCTTCGTGCTCTGCCCCTCCGTCCTGGTGCAGCTCACCCTCATCTTCGTGCACCGCGACCTCAGCCGCGACCGCCCCCTCGTCCTCCTCATGCACCTGCTCCAGCTCGGGCCCATCATCAGGTGAGCGCCGCAGGGGACACGGGGACCCCCGGCAATGGGACGTGGGGACCCCTGGCAATGGGATATGGGGACCCCTGCCAATGGGATACGGGGACCGGGGACGCGGGGACCCCCGGCAATGGGACGTGGGGACCCCTGGCAATGGGATATGGGGACCCCTGCCAATGGGATACGGGGACCGGGGACGCGGGGACCCCCGGCAGAGGATGCAGGGACCCCCGGCAGGGGACGCAGAGACCCCCAGCAGGGACGTGGGGACCCCCAGCAGGTCCCGCCGGCCCCGGGTGAGAGCAGGGACCGGGGGTCGGGCAGGGAGGGGAGCTCCGGGCGCTGCCTGTCAGCAGAAATCTGTCCGTGCGGCAAACCTCGATGTGCCCAGAACTGCTCCTGATGGCTCCCCGTCTCCCTCCTCCCCGGGGATGCTGCTGCTTCTGGCCACCGGCCTGTGGAGGTCTTCTGCTCAGCCACCCATCCCCAGCAGTGCTGCGGTCCTGCCGGGGGGGTGCTGCCTGCTCTCCTGCCTGCTGGACCCCCGCTCCGGGCAGGACTTGGCTCTGCCAGCCTGTTGCATCTCAGCTGCTGAAAAGGTTCCTCACACAGTTGCTTTCTGCAGCCGGCACTTCCCTCTGCCTTTGGGTTTTGCCATCATCTCGCTTAGGCTGGGAGCACAGATGCAAATCCCAGCTGGGGTGCTTGAGGGTGAATACAAACAGGGGTCCTGCCCCCCAGAAAAGGTCCCCAGGCCTGAAGCGGGTGGGGGTTATGGGACATGGAGGAGAGGAGCTAGGTTGCAGGAGCGGGGCTGGCATGGGAGCTGGGGGGGGCCACGGGACCACGCTAGGGAGAGGAGGGTGAGGGGGTGGATGTTGCACAAGCTGGAGAGGTGCTGATCTCTCACTCCTTGGGAATGCTGCAGTGCCTCCCCGGGCTGCCGTCACCCTGGCCACCCTGCTCGGTGAGAATGCACAGGGTGTGCAGCTGGGCAGCACGGCAGGGCCGCCATCTCCGCGGGGCTCCTTCCCCGAGGGCACGCTGGCAGCCACGCTTCGGGGCACACCGTACCAGCAGGGCTGCAAAAACACCGCGGCCTGCACCGCGCTTCCTCCATCAGCGGAAACAAGCGGGGTGCCGGCGGCGTCCTCGTCACCACGTTGGAAAGGCTGCGGGTCCACGTCAGCCCACGCTGGCCCACGGTGGTGTCGCAGCTCTCGCTGCACCCACCACAGGTGTCTGAGACGGTTACGATGGTGCTCAGCCGCTTGCAAGAGCCAGCCAGAGCCGCTCGGGGTGGGGGGAGCTGCTTCAGTTGGCTCCTCGGGCTGGAGATGGAGGCCAGCCTGCTGAGAAGGTCTGGCAGGGCACTGGGAGCCGGCTAGGACTGCCCTTGATGATGGGCCTTTTGGATGAAACCGTTTTTCCATTAAGAGTTTGCAATGAGCCATGAGCGCTGGCCTGATCTGGCAAGAGAATTTATCCAAAAACCTCATTCCATTTGGGTCTGAAACAGAGCGACTTCTGCTGTCCTAATGAGCGCTCATAAATAATTACGTCCTGTTGGTCCCAGAGCCAGTTTGTCCCCGGGCGGGAGCCAAGCCTGTCGGATGGGTCCTCCCCTGCCCATCGCCTCTGGCCCACGCACACCCACCTCGTGGCTGCGTGCCGAGGGGCTGGGGGGTCCCGCTGGCCTTGCAGCGGGGAGCAGCGTGGGAGAAACCCGCCTCCCTTCCCCGCACGTGAGGGTGCCCCGAAAGGAGGAGGCTGCGGAAGCGCCGTCTTATCAGCCCGTGTCACACACGGCTTCACCCCGCGCTCCCCTTCCTGCCGCCCCCACCAAGAAGGAAGCGTAGAAGCCTTCTGCTCAGGGGGAGAGATCAAAGAGGATACCAGAAAGTTTGTCTTGCCTCCACTTAGAGGAAGAGATGCGTTTTGTGCTAGTGGGGAAAACAGAGCCCGAGGGTGATTAACCCCTTCCTGTAACTCTTAACTCCCAGCAGAGCTACAGTTTCGGTACCCTGGACGCTGCACCTCTTGCAGCAGTTGTTGCACCCCTCCCTGGGGCAGTTGTTGTCCCCCTACCCCGGGTGCTTCCCCCTGAGTGCCGGAGCAGAGGAGCGGCCACCAGGCATCCCTGCGGTCCTGGTGTGACCCTGCCCTCATCCTGACATCCCAGGATCCTGCCTTCATCCTCACATCCCAGGGACTGCCCGCAGCACTGCTGAACAGTTGCCCAAATCAGTTGGGCTGCGCTCGGCAGGAGCAGGGTCCGGCCAGCACCGGGTGAGGGGGGGCTGGAGGTGCTGGGAGTGGGGTCGGAGAGCAGCAAGGAGGCTGGTGGGGTGATGGCTACCGTGTCCCCGCAGGTGCATGGAGGCTCTGGTGGTGTACTGCTGGTCGGGGAAGGAGGAGGAGCCCTATGTCACCATCACCCGCAAGCGGCGGCTGCGGAAAGGCTATGAGGTGGAGATGGAGCAGGAGGTGGGCCACTCGGTGCGCCGGCTGGCCACGCACCGCAACGCCTTCAAGCGCATGGCGGTCATCCAGGCCTTCCTGGGCTCCACGCCGCAGCTCACCCTCCAGCTCTACATCAGCATCCTAGAGAAGTACGTCCCCGCCGCCCGAGGTAAGGGTGCCCAGCACGTGGGCTCCCCGGGGGCCGTGCAGGCAGGACCCCACCAGGACACAGCAGCAGCTCCTTAGCCCCCTGTGCTGGTGTGGCATCTGAATGAAGCTCCAGAGGCTTGCTGGGGGCACAGCTGCCACTAGACTCCCGTAAACGTGGAGCACAACCCACAGAGGTTGGGCACTCGTCCATCCCCTGGTTTGGTTTTCCCACGCTCAGCTCTCTGCCTTCCAGCTTGGAGTGAGGCTGGGGAGGTTGGGAAGAGCTGGCTGGGACTGAGGCACCAAGCCCTGCTCCCAGCCCCGGTGCTTGCAGATGTCTGCCCTACGCAGCTGTGCCATCCTCCCGGTGCCCTGTCCCATAAAGATGCCATGCCCCTGTCCCAGGCTGCTCCAGTCTGCATTATTTACTGGTTTTGCCAGCTAGCTATGGGACTCTGGCTTCCCCACGCTCCCTCCATCAGATCTATTTCTGCACCTTTCCCAACGGCCAGAGCTCCCAGCCCAGTCCTCCCAGGGTCCCTCGCCTGGTCCGGCGGTGTTTGTGTGCTCGGGGACTGGATGTGCCAGAGCAAGCTCTTAACTCCCGCTTCAGTACGCTGAGCCGGCTGTGCAGGAATGCTCTTGCACCATTCCGATTGTAGCACCTGGGGAGGGAGCTCCCTCGCTGACCCGCACTCCCAGCCGTGCTGGGAGCCCAGACCTTGCCCTCTGTGCCCACAGCAGGCGCACGGAAAGGGGCACGTGGGAGATGCCCCATAGAAACCCCCTCCCTGGCCACAGCCCCCTGCGAGGGGATTTTGGGGAGTAGGAGCAGCGGAGGCAGGAGGACGAGCCTGGTGCTCCTCCAGCAGCAGATATGGGAAGCGAATCCCGGTTGACACATTTCAGGTAATTGCCTCACAGCTCAGGTAGCTCAGCCACCGCCGTCGGCACGGCGTGACCGGGACCAGCCGCACGCTTCCCTTTTGCCGTGTCGCGGTTTTTCCTGGCTGCGCTGAACGTGAGCAGCTGCCGGTGTTCCCTACAAATGACCTTGGGTTTGCAGCCCCTGGACAAGTGTGGCTCCTGAGGTGCTCCCAGGGTGAATGGTGGGCTACAGCGGTGTGGCTCTTGGCCCGGGTGAGGGCAGAGGGACGCTCGCAGCGCAGACCATGCCCCCCTCACCCTTGAGCAGCATTTCTTGCGCCGGGCAGGGGGTTGGTGCCTGGTTCAAGCACAGGAGCGGCCCCAGTTTGGCAAAGGCCTTTGGTTTATTAACAGAGAGAGAAAAATCCGGGAGCAGAGCTTCCTCCTGCTTGCAGCTCCCCCGCTGTAGGGTCTGTCACCACCAGCCACGAGCTGCCCCAGCAGTGCTCACGCTGAGCCTCCTGCTGCGAGCCCCGGTGCTTGGCACCCCGCGCTTCGCACCCAGGGTTGGCACCCCACGCTTCGCACCCGGGGCAGCAGAGAGGCCGAGCACACAGCCCAAATCCCGGCACTGCCTGACTCCCCTGCCCTCTCCCTCTGCAGCCGTCCTCATGGGCATCTGCCTGGTGTCGGTCACCTACGGAGCGCTCGTCTGCAACATCCTGGCCATCCAGGTCAAGTACGATGACTACAAGGTCCAGCTGCGGCCGCTGGCCTTCCTCTGCATTGTGCTGTGGCGAAGCCTGGAGATCTCCACCCGCGTGGTCGTCCTCGTGCTCTTCAGCACCGTCTTCAAGCACTGGATCATCCCCATCGCCCTGGCCAACTTGCTGGTGGTCTTCTTCTTGCCCTGGGTGCAGTTCTGGCGGAGCGGCACCCGCCTGCCCGACAACATCGAGAAGAACTTCAGCCGGGTGGGCACGGTGGTGGTGCTCTGCGCCTTCACCCTCCTCTACGCCAGCATCAACATGTTCTGCTGGTCGGCCGTGCAGCTCAAGCTGGCCGACCGGGACCTCATCGACAAGTCGCAGAACTGGGGCCTCCTGGCCGTGTACTACGTGGCCCGGCTGGCCGAGAACACGGCCCTCGTCATCCTCTGGTACTTCTTCAAGACGGACGTTTACGAGAACATCTGCACCCCTATGCTGGTGGTGCAGCTGCTCCTCGGCTACTGCCTGGGCATCTACTTCATGCTCCTCTTCTTCCAGTACCTGCACCCCTGCCGCCAGCTCTTCCGACACAATGTCGCCGACTTCTTGCACTGCGTCTGCTGCCGCCGGCGCCCGCCGGGGACCCCTCTGCACCTCCAGGCGCCCTACGAGCCCGGCGTTCGGCACAGCATCGTCTGAGACACGGCCAGCACCGGACACGGACATGGACACGGACACGGGGGTGGGCAGCGCCGGGCTGCTCCGGCAGCCGGAGGGGGCTGGCGGCACGAGCCTTGCAGTGGCAGCGGGTCCCGGTGCGTCCCCGCAGCAGCAGGGGGACAGGAGCGTGCCCGCCTGCCTGGGACTATGCAAGTGGACACGAAAGACTTTTGGGGTGCCCAAATCGCCTGCCGCTGCCAGCCGGCTGCTGCGCGGTGCACAACCCCTGGGGTGCCCTGACACCCTCTCCCCCCCGCCTGCCCGCTACGGTACATACGGTGACCTCGGGGCCACGGGTGCCGGCGGGACTGTTTTAAGCAGTAAAAAAAACTTTGCCGTGGCTGCGCGTCCGGGTACTGGCGGGCAGCCGGTGACTCACGCGGAAGGTGGGGACCGTCCCGCCGGGGCTGGCGTGGGTGCGGGCACCGGCTGCCCACGTAGCCCTCGCGCTCACGGGCATCGGGCTGGGGCTGTGCCAGCGGGACCTGGGGATGGGGGGGAAGCCCCGCGATGGAGCGTGGTGGGACGGGGACTAGCCTCATCCTGCACCTCTGTCAGCGTGGCCGTGGCCGCGGGCCAGGAGCAACCCGGCACGCTGGTAAGGAGCAATCCTGCCCAACCTGTTCTTCCAGGCTTGAGGCTGCGGCACTGGCTGCTGTTCCCAGCAGGAGCACTGGGCACCATGGAGTTTGGGACCCTGCGGTGGAGGGCAGGCAGGAGAGGAAGGGTGGCTGGCACAGCCGTGGGGATGCTGACGGGACCTGGGCATCCTGGCCCCAAACCAGGAGCGTGACCCGCCCCCTCCCCAGCACCCATTTGCGGGGTCAGCTCAGACTGGAGGGTGCTGGGTGCCAGGCTGAGGGTGCTCAGCACCCTGGTGTGCCCACAGAGGTGCAGCACCTCTGGCGCTCAGTCTTAATTCACCGTCCCTGGAGTGGATCCCTGGGCTGGATCCTGGCACTGGCGCAGCGCTGTGCCCCTGGGATGCTTCTCCTTTTTCGGTGGTTTTCTTGTAAAACAGGGGCAGTGACGGCTGGCAAGGGAGGCCAGGGAACAGGATAGACCCTCCGTGACTTCCTCCCACCAGGAAATTCCTACCTTAAAAAAAAAAGCCCATTTTTGTCCCTAAATATTGTAAAAAACAAGAGGAGCAGCCCGATGCCCTGCAGCACCCAGCTGTGGGGCCGCGGGGGACCCCTCAGTGGGGGCCCTGTACCTGACTGGTGCGGGGGGCCGGTTTCGGGGCCGGCCGGCCGATGGGGTCAGCCCTACCTTCCTGGAAGATGGCCTTTGAAACTACCCGGCATTTCCTCAAAGGTTTCTCAGGGGAAAGTCCCCGTGGTGCCGTTCCCGTGGCCGGGGCTGCCGCACCGCCTGCCGCCTGCATAAAACGTGGAGCAGGCAGGGGCAGGCAGCAGCAGGTACGGGCAGGCAGACGCGGGGACGTTGAACCATGGGCAACTGGCTGGTCAACCACTGGTTTTCGGCCGCGGTCCTCGTGAGTGTGTGGGGCTGGAGGGGGGTCATCTGCTGGGATGGACTGGGGTGATGTGGGGGGTTATGGGGGGCACGGTCTGGGCATGGCCCCGGGGGGCTTACGGGGGAAATGGGGGCTGACGGGTCGTTCTGGGGCTGGGCTGCAGGGAGAGCCAAGCGTCTCCTCCGCTCAGCCAACCTGCAAAGCCCCAGTGGCCAGGGGAGGGATGGGGTTTTAAGGAAAACACAACTCAAAGGGGGGATCCTGCTGCAAAACTTAAAAATGCTGCTGCTTTGCCCAGCCGCTTTGGCCAGGAGCCTCCCGTGTGCCTCTTCTCCCCCCGTGAGAGCCTGCACCGGGGTGAAAAGCCTGCGCCGTAGGGACGATCTGCCAGCGCATGTAACGGGGCTTGCCTGGCTGGCACCGCACTGGCTGCTTGGCACTGCTTGAAGAGCTGCAAATGCGTGGGAAAATGGGGATTTGCAGAAAGTTGGGTTATTTTAATTTTTTCAATTACTTAAAAACAAAACAAAACAAAACAAATGCAAGGCAAAGTGGTTTTGGGGACTCTGCAAAAAATTGATGGCTGTGAGAGGGGCCATTGTGGGGTGCAGCAGGGTTAGGCAGGGGACAGCAGTGTGGTGGGGCTGGGTGAGCCAGTTCCCTGAGAAATTTCCTCCTCCCAGCCTTCCCCACTCAGCCCCGACCACCCTCTCACCGTGCAGGCGTTGCCTGCAGCTGCCTTTCCTCCTTCCTCGTGCACGGGTGATGCACAGGGCTGTGGGTGACAAGACAGTTATTTTGCAAGACTCCCACACCTCTCCCCACCTTTGACCCCATGTCCCGGCCCCGTGCGTGCAGCTGCAGCTCATAAGGAAGCAGGAGAGGTCCCGCTGTCCTCATGCCCTTCGGCTGTACCCGCACCCGAGTGCTGCGGGGTGAGAGGGGGTCCCGGGCCGGGGTCCCTCACGAGGCCGCGGCTTTCCCCCGCAGGCGGCCTGGCTGGGCATCAACATCTTCCTCTTCACGTACTACTTTCTGTTCTTTGACCGGGATGAGCGGTATTTCTACACCAGGGCCATCCTCGGGGTAAGGCAGTCCCCCCCAGTACCCTGCCTGCCTGGGCACGTGTGTCCCTTGGAGCCCTCCTGCAGTGGGGTAGGGGCTGCAGCCCCTTCTTTGTCCTGTTCTCTTCCAGCCTGCCATTGCTCTGTCCCAGTCCCCAGCCCGGCATTGCTCCATGCTGGTCCCTGTCTTGTCCCAGCCTAGCAGTGCACCATCCCAGCCCAGCATCACCCTGTCCCAGTCCCCAGCACAGCCCAGCATGACCCCCTCCCAGTCCCCAGTGAAGCCCAGCATCGCTCCTTCCCAGTTCCTAGCCCAGCATGACCCCCTCCCAGTCCCCAGCACAGCCCAGCATCACTCCTTCCCATTTCCTAGCCCAGCATGACCCCCTCCCAGTCCCCAGCACAGCCCAGCATCGCTCCTTCCCAGAACCTAGCCCAGCGTCACCTCCTCCTAGTCTCAAACCCAGCCCAGCATGACCCCTTCCCAGTCCCTGTCGCAGCCCAGCATCACTCCTTCCCGATACCTAGCCCAGCATCACTCAGCCCCAGCTCAGCGTCACTTGGCCCCATCCTGTCCCAGTCCCGGCCCAGCACCATGCTGGGCAGAGCCGGGAGGGGGTCAGCGTGGCTGCAGGCAGGCATAGCCCACCTGCGGCATGGGACAGTGGGTGCTCACCCCCCTCCTCCTCTCCCCAGTCCGCCTTGGCGTGGGCACGGGCATCGGCCAAATGCCTCAACTTCAACAGCATGCTGATCCTGCTGCCCGTCTGCCGCAACCTCCTCTCCTTCCTCCGCGGGACCTGCTCGGTGAGTGCCCCGCAGCGGCACGGCCACCGCGGCCGTCCCCATCCCTGTCCCAACACCTCCTCCTCTCCCCGCAGTGCTGCAGGCGGACGCTGCGAAAGCAGCTGGACCACAACCTCACCTTCCACAAGCTGGTGGCCTACGCGCTGGCCCTGTTCACAGGTACCACCCTGCGCCGGACTGGGGGACGGTGGGGACGGGGCGGGTGGCCAGGAGGGTGACAGCCTGTCCCCCTGCCCAGCCGTGCACACCATCGCCCACCTCTTCAACCTGGAGCGTTACAACCACAGCCAGCAAGCCACCGACGGCAGCCTCCCCGCCGTCCTCTCCAAGTTGCACCTGCAGGGTGGCGGCAAGTGGCTGAACCCCATCCACTCCAACCAGACGGTGAGTGCCGGCCCTGGCATCCAGCCCCCCCTGCCACCGCCCGTGCCCTGCTTCCCTAAGCCAGCCTGCCAACCCTGCAGACCGTCGAGTACGTGGCTTTCACCACCATCCCGGGGCTGACGGGAGTCATCATCACGCTGGCGCTCATCCTCATGGTCACGTCCTCCACCGAGTTCATCCGCAGGAACTACTTCGAGGTCTTCTGGTACACGCACCACCTCTTCCTCATCTACTTCGCCGGCCTCGTCATCCACGGCATCGCGTAAGGCTCCTCGCCGCTCCCCGAAGGCAGGACAGCGAGGGGCAGCGGCCGCAGATCCCCGATGGGGCAGCCCTGCCTGCCCCGGGGGAGCGGTGCAGCCCCCGAGAGGGTCCAGCGGGGCCGTGAGCTCCCCATTCCCAGGGCTGGCTAGCCCAACCGGCCTCATGCAGCACGGCTCAGCCCCAGCCGGGGCACAGGAGCCGGCCCCTGGGCTCATCCCTCACCTCCCCGCAGCGGACTGGTGCGCGGGCAGACGGAGGAGAGCATGGAGGAGGTGCACCCTTATCGCTGCGCCCAGTATCTCACGCGCAAGGACGAGGACTGCAGCCACAACTGCTGCAAAGACCCCGAGTTCGGGAGCATCCCTGCCGAGGTGGGGCAGCGGCGGGGGGAGAAGCCCTTGTGCTTGGGATGCTCCAGCCCCGGCCCTCCCCAACCCTTTACTCTCCACCATCCCCGCAGTCCTGGAAATGGGTTCTGGCTCCCCTCATCCTCTACACCTTCGAGCGGATCCTCCGGGTCTGGCGTGCGCGGCAGAAGGTCGTTGTCACCAAGGTGGGTGGTGCAGGAGCCTGTGCCTACCGCCAGCTCCTTTCCTCGCAGCCACCGCTGCTGGGGTGGCCGTGGGGAGACGGGCAGGGGCTGCTGCCATCGCCCCTTGCCCGGGGACGGGAGCCGGGCTGGGTGCTGAGCCCCCATCCCTGCCCTGCAGGTGGTCATGCACCCTGCCCGAGTGCTGGAACTGCAGATGCAGAAGAAGGGCTTCCGCATGGAGGTGGGACAGTACATCTTCGTCAACTGCCCCGCCATCTCCCTGCTGGAGTGGCATCCCTTCACCCTCACCTCGGCGCCCGAGGAGGACTTCTTCTCCATCCACATCCGGGCAGCCGGTGACTGGACGGAGCGTCTCATCGACACCTTTCAGCAGCAAAAGACGGAGATGCCCAGGTAGGCTGGGGAGCACCCCAACGGACCATCCCGGGGATTTGGGGAGGCCGTAGCTCTTACCCAGGCCCTCCCTCGGCCAGGATCGAGGTGGATGGCCCCTTTGGCACGGCCAGCGAAGACGTGTTCCAGTATGAGGTGGCCATGCTGGTGGGAGCAGGCATCGGTGTCACCCCCTTCGCCTCCATCCTGAAGTCCATCTGGTACAAGTTCCAGCAGGCTGACCAGACCCTCAAGACCAAGAAGGTATGGGCTGCCCTACAGGACCAGCCATGGGTTTCCCCATGCTGGTCCTCTCAGTCCTCGACATCGCATCCTTCCACCCCTCCTGCTCCGCTCCACCTTGGGCAACCCCTCTGCCCCTGCATCCCAGATCTACTTCTACTGGCTCTGCCGGGACACGGGAGCGTTTGCCTGGTTCAATGACCTGCTTGCCTCGCTGGAGCAGAAGATGGTTGAGTCGGGCAAGGCGGACTTTCTCACCTACCGGCTCTTCCTCACCGGCTGGGACACCAGCATCGTGAGTCGGCCACGGGCAGGCATGACTGCAAGGGGGGACATGGGGTGGCCGAGGCAGGCAGGAGGGGCAGGGCAAGCATGTCAACGGCTTGCAGGCAGAAAGTCCGGGAGCCGTGTTTGGTGGACATCGGCAATGGATGCTCCTCTATGGTGAGGGAATGGAGGTGGGCTCACGGATGGTGGCCGGGGTCCTCACCGTCCCTGCTCTGTCCAGGCCAACAATGTGGCGCTCCGCTTTGACACCGCTATGGACACGGTGACGGGCCTCAGGCACAAAACCATCTTTGGGCGGCCCATGTGGAACAGCGAGTTTGCGGCGGTGGCTGCAGCCCACCCCAGGTAAGAGCCGGGCAGGGGGTTTGGGGTGCCGGTGCTGGTAGGCACCCCCTCCTCCCTGGCACCCAGCACCAGGCTGGGCAGAGCTGGCTTTGGGAGGGGCATGCTCATCCCCCACAGGTTGCAGGGATCCCAAAAAGCTCTTAAATCACCTTTCCCTGAGCTGCCCACCTGGCAGTGACAGCCCTGTGCTGTGCACAGGTCAGTGGTCGGTGTGTTCCTCTGCGGGCCGGGCGCCTTGGCAAAGAGCTTGCAGAAGTCTTGCCACCAGCACTCCAGCCTGGACCCCAGGAAGGTCAAATTCTACTTCAACAAGGAGAACTTCTAAGTGGCAGTCAGGCTGGGACCGCAGCGAGCAGGGGACTCTGCCGGTCTCACCTCACCGCCCGTGCCAGAGCATGGCCAGGGATAAGCATCTGCTGAAGAGCGCATGCATCAAAGCCAAAAGGCAAGACACGGCAAGGCACTCCTCCTCCACGAGAAACTCGCGGTTCAAAGACTGCTGCCTTCTTGACCTGGTCTACAAAGGGTCCTCATGAAGGGAGCGGACCCGCAGCTCCGCACAGCCCCCCATCGAGAAACCAGAGGCACGTGCTGCAATGATGCTGCTGGAGCAGCGGGAAGCAGCGGGAACATCCAGCAGGCTGCGCAGAACCACAGGCTGGGGATGGGGACAGGAGAGGGGCACGCCGAGCAGGCACTGGGGGTCAAACATGCCCCTCTGGGTTTAAACAGTCCTTTACACAAAAGCGTAAATTAAATGTACTTTCCTTTGCAATAAAAACCTCCGTGGTGACTCAGTCCGTGCAGGAGTGAAGGGAGCCTACTCTTTGCCCCCTCGTAGGGCTGCAACAAAAAGGCTGGTTCATAGCAAACCCTCTGGGGTGCAGTGTAAGGCACTCCCCCTCTGCGGGGGCTCCCTGCCACCACCCAGAGCCAGCCTGCACCACCTGCCAGGCACACACCAGCGCACAGGCCAACTTCAAATGCAGCTCACACAAAGGCAACAAATTCTGCTCAAGCATATGCAGAGAAGAGGGGAAAACCACCCTCCCCGAGAGGCCGGTGTGGTAAGCAATACAGCAATTGGATACGGAGCCCCTCCTGCCCGGTCAGTAGGGACAGAAAGCTGAGCTCCCTGTGCTGCCCTGCCCTTACACCCCTGTGAACAGCTGTGACCAGCACGGCACATAAAATCCCACGAGTAGATCTTGCCTTGGTGCTGGGGAGGTGGGAGGAAGGCGAGTGGTTTGGACTAGCCTGGAGCCAGGCCAGACTGTTCCCAGAACCCAACAGTCCCATTCCGGCCTCCACAAGAGACCAAACAAGGCAGTCGGAAACATGGCTTTACTCAAACCCTCCTCCCACTTTATTTCGAACGTCATAAAATATACACACAGAAAAAAGGATGAATGGGAGGGGAAAACATTGGGGGGCGGAGGAGAAACCTCTCCCAAAACGCAGCATCAGCTCAGACAGCAACGGGAAGCAGCTGCCACGGACCGTCGCCTCTGTCCAGGTGGATGGCATCTCCAGGGCTAAGAGAAGAAAGGGGAGTGAGCTCCAGCATAGAGAGGAAAAGCAGGGTAGAGCCCCATCCTGAGCAGCTCTCTGATTTACTGATGGGGAGCAGGCACAGGCTAAGGCTGGGTTAAAGACATCACCTGTCAGGGTGCTCCCGTGGACTTTTGGATTTGCTCCTTTAGAATAAGGATGCTCTGCCGTTGCTCCGGAGGCAGCATGGCAATCTGGTCTGCCGTCAGCTGCAGAACCTGCATGATCAGGGCTGCCTGTGGGGAGAGGGGGGAATCAGAGACACGCGAGCAGCCACGGGTTACTAGAGTCAGGAAGGGGCTGTCCCCACCACAGTAAGGCACGTAGGAAGTGCCACGCCTGCTGTCTCACCCTTCCCTTTTTGTCTTCTCACCTTCTCGTGATCCTGGGGGGTGACCTGGCTCTGTCCAGGGCTAAAGCCTCCAGGCTGACCAGCTCCTTGGACCCCTGCCCCCGGAATGCCTCCTCCCTGCATGCCTGCCCCTGCCATGTTAGGAACCTGCGGGCACGAGAGAGGGGGTAAGGACCAAGGGGTCCCTGGACTCAGCCATACAAATACAGGAACGTAAAGCAGATGACCAGATGGATGCCCTCACAGACAGCCTGAAGACGTCCAAGCATGAAGAGAGACAGGCTACCGTGTGTTTTACGTGCTCTCCTCTGCCTCCAACTCCTGCGCTCCTTCCTGCACATCAGGAAGAGGTGGAGAGGGGCCTGAACCTCGTCCTGTGCCCAGCAGATGGGCAATGCCTGGGGAGATGCGACGGATGCCCTGAACCCCTCAGAGAGCCACTGATCCAGGCCTTGTGCTTCCCGGCGGTGCTGCTCCACAGGACACCCTCCCCTCTCTAGCTGCTGAATGCGATCATGCCCCCCACCCAGCCCCCATCTACAAGACACTGTCAGTGCCCAACCAGCTGAGCAGAGGCGTTATGTGTACCTGGCGGGGCCCCTGTGGGCCACTGGCTCCCATGTTAAGTGGCCCAGGACCCTGTATCCCACCAGGCATAGGGCCACGTGGGTTGGGACCAGGCCCTCGAGGCTCCAGGCCCCGGGGCTCCATGACCCTGGCCTCCATGGCCCTGGCTTCCAGCACTCGCGGCTCCAGGACCCGTGGCTCCAGGCCTCGTGCCTCCAGAGCTCGTGCCTCCATCACCCGGGGCTCCAGCCCTCGTGGCTCCAATCCTCGCGGCTCCAGCCCTCGGGGATCTCTTCCGACTGCAGAGGAAAGACAAGGCGAGCTGTTGAAGGGAGCAGCGCCGCAGGGAGCGTGGGAGCGAGCCCGCTGCCTCCTTTGTCTGGGGGCTAGCAAATGCCTGGAAGGTGCAGGGCTGGGGGCAGAGGAGACATGCCTGGAGGAAGTCCCTTGCCCCGTGGGACTGTCCCTCCTTGCCCCGGAGTCAGTCGCTTCACTGCCCAAATCCCCCTTCTACGTCTCGCGTCGGGGCAGCGGGCTCCACTCTGACTTCTTGTCCGTATGCTTTAAGCTACCCGTTATTTCATGCCCCCTCTCTCACCTCGAGCATCCATCAAGGGCCCCCGCGGCTCTCCCATCAGTGGTCGGGGTTCTCCCATGGGTCCCCCCCTCATCTCATGGGGGGGGCCACGGCTGTCATGACCAGGCATATGGTGCATAGGGGCTCCCTGGTGGGGCGGCCCAAGGTAACCTCTGACGCAGAGAGACGAGGAGAGCAAAGCAGGAGGAGGAGAAAAAGCGAGAGAGTGTAAATCAGACGCTGGCTTGGCACGGTCTGGGCAGAGCGCTGGGATTGCCCCCGAAGCCGGCCGCAGGGGAGGAGGGTGAGGCTGGCACAGGGACAGGTGCTGTCGGCCCCATGCTGCAGGGCTGCTGCCATCACCCCGGGGATGCCCCGTCCCCGGGGAAACGGGCCGGCCCCCGTGGTCGGCAGCACACAGGCCTCCGACCAGGCAGCAGTGACTCCCGGAAGGCTGGTGCCATCCCTGTCCTCAGTGAGAGGTCACCCTTGGGCAGGGGATGGTGCCAAGGGCTCCTCTCCTTCCCTCTCCCCTCACCTGGGCTCCACTTCTCCAGTGACTGAGAGCAGGGTCCCTCCGCGAGGGTCATTCGGGGCATCTCCCAAAAGGCCTCGGGGCGGCGGGCCACTAGCAGGTAGAGGTCCACGCTGCATAGGGGCCCTCGGGTCTGGCATGGGCACTGCCAGGGAGACACACAAGAGCTCGTGAGGATCTGCATGACCAGCACCATGCTGAGACTGTCCCCCAGCGCTCTCGGGGCTAGGGTGCGGGGCGGCCTAGCTGCTCCCCGGCACGCAGGCGGGTGAGCTGCGCTGACCGCTGGGGGGGCAGCCCCTCGCATGAGGCCACGGCGCACCGAGGCCCCTTCCCTGGCTGCTGCTTTTATCCCTCTCTTTCCCTCTCTGGCTCTACCTCAGGCTCCTAATGGCACCAGGTGGCCAAAACAAGCGTGGGTGCCCCTGTGGCAATCCCTACGAGCGCAGGCATCAACACCCTGCTGACGTGGGGCCAGGAGCAAAGTAAGACCTGGCAGCGAGGTGTCAAAGGGAGCTGGATCCTAGGCAAAGGCCCTCTCCAAGCAGGCTCTCCTTTTCCACTAGTGGCTCTCTGTGCACAGCACTAGCCTGCTCTCTCCTCTGGCCCCGGAGGAAATCCTGCCTCCTCCTCTTAATCCTGCCAGGCTACACGGAGTGATACACCAGTCCCCGGCCCTGAGCATAGTGGGGTGAAAGCTGCTCTCTGTACACTCCACAACAAGCTCCATGGGAGGAGGGAGCTGGCGAGTGCCGGGATACCTTGAACGCGTTCGATAGACGCAGGCCTGGCAGGTCCCACGGGCGAGAGCTGCAGGTTCCCTGGGCAAGCAGCAGGAAAAGAGGGAGAAGAGCAGACACGTAAATAGTGTATGCACACATGCACTCAGCCTTGGGGACAGTGCTGCCTGCAGGATCACTTCCGCTCCCTGAAGTCCCCCAGAAAACCTACAGAGAAGATGCTGCATGCTGCAGGTCTGGCTTTATCAACCTCTTCCATTAACGCCACCTCAGCCACCACAGGCGTGACAGCCAGCTTGGCACAGCCCTTCCCTCGCTCACTGTGTGAACGTGCAGGGCAGGAGGACATCCTGATGAAACAATCGGCATTCTGCGGGGCCATGCTGCGCCCCTCAACGCACAGCCAGCCAGCTTCTGCTTCTGCCCCTGCCCACAGCTTCCCATGGCACTCGTCAGTGCCAGCTTTCTGTCTGCTCTCCAAAACCTCGCGGGTGCCAAGAACTACCAGGTTGCTCTCAGGAAGATGGTGCCCACCCCAAAGAAAACGAGAGTCAGCTACCCCTAAGTACCTAAGACCAGAGGATCTCAGAACAGGTTTGCCACGTTCTTGAAACAAGGCCCATGATACAAGTCAAGGCAATAGGGGTGTCAACTGCCTGTGTGCCTTATTACTGGGAGAACAGGAACGCCTTGGTTGCGCTAACCCCGGCACATGGCTTGATGGGGCAGCCACACAATGTGTGAACCGTAAGGAATCCGGCTCCGGGGCTGGGCCGTACAGACCGTGCCTGCGGAGGGAAAGCCAAGCCATCACTCACCGGGAAATTCCCTGCCAAGCCTTGCACTCACTGTCACAAGCAAAAGCGAAAGCCCAGCTCCCTCTGCCGGGCACGGTGCAGGGAGCACTCGCAGAGGCGGGCAGACGCGGCGGCAGCACAAGCTGCTTCCCAGCACCCAGGCAGCAAAGGAGCAGGACAGGGACCAGAGAAGAGCAAGCTCTGCCTGCCCGCACAAGCACAGGGACAGACATGGGCTCACAGAGAGATGGAAAAAACAGGCACGTCCCGCTCAGTGGGGCTCTGCGGGGACCAGCAGCTCTCCTGGCTTCCAGGGCTCATCTGCATAACATGGCGCAGAACAAGCTGGGAGCAAACCGGTGCACGGGTTGGGGCCCTGGAAGCAGGAGAGCTGCTACCACAGCCTTGCGCCTAAGCGAACAAACCCGGGTGCAGCCCAGCGCTGCAGGAGCTGCCCCAGATCCAGGGACGGCAAGGCTGCAGGTAGCTGGCAGGGGCTCTCGGTGCAGCACTGCTCAGCACCCGTGGCCTGGGCCCTCGCCACAACGAGGCTCACATGACACACAGCACTAACCCACATCCGTTTTACCTTGTCCACGCTCCAAGGGGACAGGCCCTCCACCCGGCATCCCCACCTGCGGCTGCATCCCACCTGAGAGGGAACAGGCAAAGATCAGATACCTCCTCCTTGGCCATCCCTACACAACTAACCGATTCCTTTAGCCCCAAATACCTCCCCCTCTCCCAGCTCCTGGGGGAGCACCTGGAGGTTTATTTTCTTGGTGTTGGTTCCCCACAGAGATAAGCCAACTTTTTGGACCGCTGCTGGCGGCAGCCACAACCACAACGCATGGTTTGGGACTACGTGTGCTCTCACGGGGCCAAGCCCTCCGGTTAGGGGGAAGGTAGAGGGGGACTGTCCGTAGGACCCGTACGCCCAGAGCACGGTTCAGCCAAAACCCACACACTCACCTCCAGGAGCCATGGGGCCGGGGCCTGGGCCCTGTACAGGGGCTGCCATCTGTCCTGGGGCCGGCACTCCTCCCTGCATGGGCGGCTGCATCAGAGGAGGAGCGCCGTTTACGTGCATCCCACCCTACCCAGGAGAGAAACCGGACCTCAGGGAAGCCCCGTCATTTGGGCACACGCACCCCAGCTGCGAGAGCTGGAGCCGCCAACGCCCATCTCTCCCCCGCACAGCACGTGTGTCGCATAGGCTCTTACTATGGGCTGTGGCTGGGACGAGGGGGTATTCTGCGGGTTCAGCTGGGCATTTGGCCCTGGCCCAGGCCCCGGTCCTGGTCCAGGCCCTGGCCCTGGCACTGGCTGCTGGTTGCCTGGGATCAGAGGAGGAACGCTGGTCTGGCGATGAAGGATTTTCTAGGAACAGAACAAGGAGAAACGAGTTCTCTTCCACCTGCCCTCCATAACAGGCTGCCACCGATACCCTACCGACCCCGGATGAGGCAGGAAGGGACAAACCAGCGCAATCTCCGGGTCGACGATCCTCATGACGACCTGGGCCTGCAGCAGGGCGTAAGCCAGCTGGGGGTTCTGGAGCAGCATGTTCCTGGCTTCCTGAGGGCTGTTCTGGACGCACAACTGAGAAGACACACGCAGATCAGAGCTCGGGCAAGGCGCAACAGGGGCATGCAGCGAGCAGGGAGCACAGCCCTCCACTTCACTTACCTTCATCTGCTTCATCAGCTCAAACATCTGCTCGGGTGGCAGGCTGGCTACTGCTCGGCTGATGGACTCGGGGGCATCTTCAGGATTGACAGGGTCCCCGTAAGGTGACTCTATGATGGGTGCGCCTGTGCCCAAGCCTGCAACAGAGTTGTGGCAATGTGGACTGGCCATTTTTAACAGGCTCATTAGAAGGGAAGCACCATGCCGTTACAGGGAAGGGGAGGCGGTGAAAACGGGGAGATTATCTGGGAGAGAAAACAGAGCTGAGCCCATCCATCCCTCTGCAAAACTACTTGCTACATCGCTTGGAGCAGGTCAGCTCCACGAGGTCTCCACCTTGCCAGCCTCGCAGAAGAGGCACGCTTTGTAACACTGAAAAGTCCAGGCCCACCATAACATCAGTGCACTCTCCACCATAAAATTCAGACTCACTCTTCAGCTCCTCCTTGTTCTTCTCACTGGCCGCATTGTCGACGCGCAGGGCCCTCCCGCTGAACTCTCGCCCGTTCAGGTTCCGCATGGCACTGAGGGCCGTCTCCTGGTCTTGGTACTCACAGAAGCCATAGCCCTTCGGCTTTCCCGTCTCCCTGTCATACACCAGCCTGCACAGCGAGGAGGAGAGAACCACCACGGCTGAGGGCAGCGCAGGCATCGAGCAGTGCGCAGTGCCCACAGCTCCCCATCAGTTGGGAGGGAGCTTTTGGGGTACACCACACAGGAGCGCTGGGGAGCACAGAGAAGGCACCAGAGTCAGATCAAGGTGCACAACAGTCGGCCCTAAGCCAGAGCCAAAAGACCTCCTGGCTGCAGGCCAATGGGTGTTCCCAAAACTCCAGTATGCAGGAAGGCCACCAGCGCAGGCGCTGTGCTTTCCATGACCCATGAAGGCAGCTCTTGGGGGCACAGGACTGGACTGGCTGCTCCTGGAGCTCCCAAGCCCTTAATTGGGAGCTCTCTGAAGCCAAGTGCCAAGCCAGGAAAACATCCTTGCAGAGCCGCTGGGATGGGAGTGCTCTATGCTCCCATCTCTTTGCATAAAGCCTAATCAGGACCTGAGGGCTTATCTGCCCCAGCCCCATGCCACAGCAGGGCAGCTGCCTCCATCCCGGAGCAGCGTGCCCACATTCAGGCTGTTGCGCTCGGGCGGTTACGCTCTGCATCTCCAGGCGACCTCGGCACGGGATCTCCGTGCCTGCACCCCAAGCACAGCTGCCACAGCCTCCCAGACCGCCCAGAAGCCGCACCGCTGTGCGCTGCTTTGCTCCTGCCCGTCGGAAGGCTGGCTCTGTGCAGCATGCTCCTCCACAGCCCCCGGCCACCCGCGGGGCTCGGTTTGCCCACGCTGCCTTCAGGAACCGAGGAAGGGGGAGACGGGCAGCTATTCTCACCTAAAGCTGACCACGGGCCCAACCTCTGAGAAAATGTCCTTCAGCTGCTCCTCTGTGGCTTCGTACGGGATATTCCCCACTGTGGAAAAGAGACGGTGGCCGCCGGTCAGCGCGGAGGCCGAGGGCTGCGCGGGTACCGGCCCCCAACGGCGGGAAGGACTCGGCCGGCCCGACCTCGCCTTCATCCTCATCCTCACCCCCATCCCCGTCCCCGCCCGCCCCCGTGCCGCTCACCGAAGACGGAGCGCAGGGAGCGGTCCACGGCGGGGTCCCGCACCGACAGCCCCGCCATCCCGCCGCCCGGGCCTCGCCGCCGCTTCCGGTCCCGCCCCCCACG